TATCTTAGGGGTAAGCGTCTCATCTGTTTGTATTTTTCAAGTTAAGCAATGCTAAGAAATATTGCCATATTGCTAACTTTTCCACTTTAGCTTGCGGACTTGACAGGAGAATTAATGAGGTTAGCAATCGGTCGAATTTCAGAAGGGGAACTTGATTTTGCAGAGAAGATCTGCAGTTTTGTGCGTGAAATTTACAGGAACCTTACTCTTATTGCCCCGGAGATGGATGATAGTTCAGATATGAAACAGAAAATGGAAACAATGCTCCAGAGTGTGATGAAGATAGAAAATGGTATAGTCTTCAGCTGGTGTCTACGACCAATTTCTTTCTCTTTGTACCTTAGTTCTAACCTAACTACTTAAATACTGCTTTAGGACAGTGTAAACACAACTGTTTTTAAGCAATTCTGTCAGGCAGTAATCTTTTTGTTTTCAGTCTCAGGGGTTTGTTCATTTCAAACTGTGTATATTCATAAGTTTTTTCTTATCAGTAATATAATCAAAAGCTTTTAATTGGATGCACAGGAAAGAAATTGTTATCCAAAATTTGTATGTGCTCTGGCTACCGAATAATTTAAATCATTCTCGTGTGTGGTTCACCTTGGTGTTCCATGTATAATAACTGTAATTTAAGTTCTCATTCAATGTTTGATTCTTCGACTAATATATTCAATTATTTTGTTGCACTAGGTAGTCGGGTATATTCAGGTTCCATCTGGAACCTGTAAAGTAGACTTGATATTCTGGTGTTTCCTGCAGCTTTTAGTGGATATTTTACCTTTCATAAAGCATCCTATGTTAAAACAATATGTTTGCGTTTAATTTATTGTTTTAGTTTGAGCTTGTGCAGTCAATATCTGTATTTAGTTGTGGAAATAGTTAGTTACTAGTAACTGAATCTGGAAAAAACTCGAGGCGTATCTCTTATGCAACTGATTGTTCTGCAGCTTGTTTTAGTGTTCATGTAAGAGGATCGGAGTATATTCCCCTTCTTGGATCTGCTGACACCAGTTATCCACTGTTGGGCATGCCAGACATTGAATGAAGAAGTAACTATCTACTTTGTTAAGAGTGTTTACAGAAGTTATTATGCCTTGTACTAACTTAATTATGCTGCAATTTCTTATTGAAGGCAGAAAGATAAGTTTTTGAAGTTGTTGATGCAGCTCTCCCAGCCTGCATATGCACACGGTGCAGAGCGTCTTTGTAGGGTGCTTGGGTGCAACGATTTGCGTCTTTGTAGTAGAAATGACAGATTTTGTAATTACTCCAGTCCTCCTACTGAAGTTTGTAGCGGAGATTGTATAGCTTACAAGTACTCTATTTCTTCCTACTGACCTACAAGATGGATACCTTATTCGCGAAATGATTGCCGGAGTTTGTTTTCTAAGATGATTTTAGACTAGTTTACACTCTTTATTTACCCAGAAGGTATTCTGAATCAATGTTTTTTCTGTTGTTATTATTGTATTTCATAGCTTTGAAACTTACATCTTCTTTCTGCCTTATATAGAAAAAAAGAGGATATATGTTCATTATTTTTTGGCTTGATACATAGTCAACCCCATAAACAATAATATCATATTCAGTGAAATTTCATACACAAGCCTTACCATTGCTTCGTGGAGGTAGAGAAACTGTTTTTAAAAGACTCTCAGCTCAAGTGAAGAGGCAACCCTTTAAAACTTGTTAGGATATTTCCTTTAGACACTCGAACTAAGTCCTATTTCAATTTAACACTCCAACTCCTAATAAAGTATTCCAATTGGACACTTAAAATTCAAATTTCGAAGAAAAAAAACATATATTGATTTTTACTTATTCACTTTAGCATATCAAGAGAAACACAATTCTCCGAATCATTTCCTAAGTTCATTGAAATTATATATCAATTAATATGCATAGTATATAGTATAGTAAAACATATACTTCATAAGCATGAATGGAGTGAGTATAAATAATAAATTCTTAGCCTTTAACCTCTATAAGCTTTATATTCTGAGGAGATTCTTAAAAGCAAAAGAAAAAGGAAGATTTGTTGGGAATGTAATTAAACTGTTATATTGTGGCTAGGTTTCATAGCTATCCCTAAGTAGCTGTACATTTATCTTGGAAATGTAATAAGTAGTAATAATATGCAAAATCAGAAAGAAGAAAGAAAATAGCGACCATAAATTTCCATAGCTAAAAAACAAAAATATCATGCTACTCTTATTTAGCTACAGATTAGCTATAAATTACCCAAATAAAATTCAATTAACTAGGGGCTGTTTAGCAATGAATTAGTTGGGGATTATCGACAAATTTCTGAACTAATTCCATATTTTCTAGTAATGATAGTAATAGTAATGTAATCAAATTTATAGTTTCAAATTAATAAAATTAACTTAGTAAATACAATCTTAATAAAAGCTTTGTTAAAGATTAATTGTGTCAAATCAACATAAATCAAGTAATATGAAACGAAGCTATACATAAATTTTAAAAAAATCTAACAGGAAAAGTCACTACTCATCATGCATATCTAGAAGCTAGAACTACTAAGACAAGCAAGTCTATATAGCAAAACAAAAAAAAAACTGTATAAATGAGTAAGTAGAATAAACCCTACAAGATATAATTTCTTAGGGGAAAAAAATCTCTCTCCGTTCTAATCTATTCGATGTTGTTTAGAATGAAATTTAAGAAAGAAAGACTATTAAAATTTGTGATTGTGTAACTATAAATTATCTCATTAAGAGTAAAATAAATAGTTAAGTGAAATTGTTACTCCCTCCGTATAAAAAAGAATGATATACTTTTCTTTTTCACCTGTTTAAAATACAATGAAACCTTTCCTTTTTTGACAATACTATAATTTCAATTTTTCACGTGACATGCATGTTTAACGCCACAAGATTAAAGAGCATTTTAGTACTTTTGACATATCTTTAATTCAAGATTACAAGATAGAAAATTCTTCTTTATTTTCTTAAACATCGTCTCAAGTCAAACTGGGTCATTCTTTTTTAAGTGGAGAGAGTATTAAATATGAAAATATGTCATTTTTCAAAGACTAACTACTCCCTTCGTCCCATTTTATATGAGTTAGTTTGACTCAGCACGGAGTATAAGAAAGAAAAACTTTTGAAACATGTGATCTAAACTAAGTAATAGATATTTGTGTGACTATAAATCATTTCATTAAAGGTAAAATAAATATTTTAAAGTTAAATTACTACTTAACATAGAAATGTGTCATTTTTTTTATACCAATGACTACACAGAAAAGTAAGTCATTAGACAGATTAAAAAGAAACTTCAGCATTGTGTGAGAAAATAATCAAAGGAACTTTAGCATCACAAAACACATAGATTTCTTGAGCTTTCTTCACCAAACCAACTCTTCTTTAATTTTTAATAATTTACCTAAAAATAGAAACTCTGAACTTGTTGTTTACCTCACACAAAGGAATTAACCCTTGGTACCTCCTTCTTTTCTATTTCAACAAAAAGTGAACAAAAACCCATTTTTGTGAAATGTAAAAGAACAAACTACCACTCACTACTTATTCATGTTTGACTTGACACTCTGCTTATAAAAAGCACTAATTTTATCACCTCTAATTATTATAAGCTATCTAAATATTAGAAATCAAACGAATAACACTTAATAAAAAGGTTTTTAAGTGTATATAAATATGTTAATGAGTTACACATGAGTTAGCTAAAATATATATTCTCCCTAGACGAGCTAGTAATTATCGCAAGGTTACTAAAACAGGCTAACTTATTATACGTAAATGCCTAATTATTAATCTATTAGAGATAAGTCCATCCTTGTCATTAGCAAGTTACATAAAATAATAAATTAGTGAACAAAGAGTGACATGAAAATGGAGAGGAATATTAGGTTAAGAAAGAAAATGAGAGGTTGTCTGAAAAAGCAAGTACATGATAATATTTAAAAGGATAAGACATGATATGGGAGGTGACAATGATAGCCACAATATATAACTAATGTTATGTGTTTAAGGATTTGTTGTCTAGCATTGATTGGCTACACAACTATTTCCTTTAGTATATGTTGGATATACTATGAACCCTAACAGTTATTACACAAGTTTTAGTACAATATGTTAACTCAAATATCTACTCTTTATACATCTTTAATTTGTGCCTTTAACTTTTCCAGGGCTATGGACATCATTATTATATTTTCATATTCTCTCTTGACAAAGTCTAGTTCTTTTTCTTCTTTTCCTATCATATTTCTAACATAATTTTTTTTAGGGATCGAACCCGAGACCTTTAATTAAGAATGAAGTAGTTTCATCACTCACCACAACTCATGTTGATCTAATTCTTTCTTTTAGTTTCTTGACAAAGTCTAGTTCTTTCTTCTCATTTGGTGTCTGGAGTCCATATTGAAGCGCTAATTAAATCTGAATCGTGATGCAGAGTCCATTCAAGAGTGGCGCTTCAAACAACATTTTGCCCATACCCAGAACTCGAACTTGAAATCTCTGATTAAGAATAAAACAGTTATGATCCATCAATACACCACAACATTTTTAATTTCCCCTTATGATCTAGTTCGTTCTTTTACGTTGAAACAATAATCACTCAGATGAATTATTATCAAAGAAAAATAAGCACAAAACTATCTTCTTATTTTGGTTATCTCAATCTTTATATCCTAGAACCACATATATAAATTCAATTTAAGGGTAAACAACCATATATGGTCAATTAAACATGACCTTTGAATTTTTTGGTTGTTGCATCAACAATAATGTAGTAGAGGCTCAAGTTATAAACTATGGTCACAATAAGGTTAGTAAGTGCATCTACTTGCATTAATTCCATAAGAATTTAAGTACTAAAACAAGAAGTAAAAGAGATAATGTAGTCCGATCCGTTCGGTGACATTCAGATAAAATTGAAACGATACAGAGAAGATTAGTATGTCACGCACAAGTCGAGAAATGGTCCAAAATAGAAAATGTATGTTTGACTTATTACATGACATATATATCATTATAGTTTGCATACACAATAGTTTACTAAACATGCAAGCTAATTAGTCTTTTGAAACACTAAAAGCTCAACTTGTATGTATGAAAGAAATAACATTTATTGGTTCTTTCCAATCTCAAACTTTCATCAACTTAATTGCTTGTAAAAGGCAAGAGAACTTGTTTCCCATTCAAAGCATCCATCCAGGCAAAATTCCAGTAGCATTATGAGTTGATGGTTCTATATTATCCAATGGAGCCAGATTGTACCTGTTACTACGTGAACTTCAGATTCTGAATTCGCCTCTACAACTTACAAGATGGCTCATCACTTCAATAAATACACAAATAAATTATTTTGAATGTATCTAATACTTCAGGTTCTGAATTCGCCTCTAAACTTACCACATGACTCACTTCAATAAATATACAAAAAAAATATTATTTGAATGTATCTATTGTATACTTTAGATTCTAAATTTTCCTCTGGACTTCCAACATGACTCACTTTAATAAATACACAGAGAATTTTTTTTGAATGTATGTATCACTTTAGGTTCTGAATTCGTCTCTAGACTTACAACATGACTCACTTCAATAAATGCACACAAAAAAAAATGATTTGAAAGTATCTATTGCTTTAGATTCTGAATTCGCCTCTAGAACTTACATGGCTCACTTCGATAAATACACAAAGAAAGATACTAATTTGAATTTATCTATTACTTTAGATTCTGAATTTGCCTCTAGACTTACAACACGACTCACTTCAATATACACAAAGAAATTAATTTGAATGTATCTATTAGTTATTACTTTAGATTCTGAATTCGCCTCTAGACTAACAATATGACTCACTTCAATAAACACACAAAGAAATTAATTTGAACGTATCTATTACTTTAGATTCTGAATTCATCTCTAGACTTATGACATGGCTCACTTCGATTAATATACAAAGAAATTAATTTGAATGTATCTATTACTTTAAATTCTGAATTCGCCTCTCAGCGACTCAATTCAATGGTTCAATTTAAAATGTTGCAAAAAATGTGCTATTTAAAGGAAAAAAAACATAAAATTATAAATTACCTGTTTGGCACTATATTAGTATTGCATTGTAAAGGCTGAAAGAACCCCTCTGACTGAGCAGGTTGTTGTCTGAATTGTATATTTTGCTCTCCAGTAGTATGCCAATGTGCTTGGTGGGCTACAGAGTTTTCTTCCAACTATCATAAGCATTTCATAAAGAAATTAATAACTGTCAATCGAATCCAGAAAACTATGTAAAAAGTACGATAAGTTATAACAATTGACAATTTAAAATATTTAAAATACATATAAACATATGACATCAAAGAAAACCACATATGAATCTCAAAATCCGAAATGGAGAACAAATGAGTCAGATACCATAAAACAAAGATTAAGGGTGTGTTCGGTATAAAAAATATATATTTTCCATGAAAAATATTCTTGAAAAATATTTTTTAGAAAAAATAAGTAGGTTTTTACTTGTTTTCTTATATTATGTACATAAACAAAAAAATATTATTCTTAAAACATTTTTACATAATCTAAGCAAATATTATAAGAGGTGGTGATGGTGGGTAGGGGTGTGGAGTGGTGGGGATGGGATGGAGACTACAAAGGTGGAGTGAAGATGAGGTGTGTTGAAGGATCAGAAGGATACCATCAATGTGAAATGTCGTCACTTGTGGAGCTTATTTTCCTACTTTCACTGGCAAAGTCATTTTTCTCATTTTTAAAAAACATACTTTCATAGAAAAGACATTTTCCCAAAATTTAGATCAACCAAAATGAAAGTAAAAGGTCCAAAATGAGTGCTTTCTGGATTTGTACCTTTGTCTTCAAGGATCTGTTGATTTCAAGAAGAGATTGTTCCTATAGAAAAAGCAAAAAGAACACATATAATGTCACATGAGCAATTCATTTAATTGTCAACTTAGGGGATTATACAAATACATACCTTTTGTTGAAGATCAGAAAGTTGATCAAGCATGTTTTGTGTCTGAAACATGTTCAAGGAGTTGGTTAAAAACTTCTTTAGCAAATCATGCAAGCAACTATTTACCCTTTTTAAAAATTATTATTTAATTATTTATAATTAGCATATAAGTTGTAAAAGAGAGAAGGTAGGAAAAGGTAAGATCTTGTTACAAAATAAATATATATGTATGTTCTTGATATAGTGTACAAAGATATAGATAAATATCATATCTTTAGGATTTCCTCTTCAAGTCGTTCCTTAGTTAGCTTGTAATGTTACTGTATTTACACATATTTACCTATTGAATAATACACAAGTTACAATGATACACGCACTCGGAAATTTTGACCTTCCTTCAGTTTCGAAAATAATATTTTCAGTTTCAAAAAATCTTGACCTTCCTATTGTTTCCTATGATCAGTTATCTCATGCATCTAGATCTTTGATTGCATCTCTAGACTCTATGTCTGTACCCAAAAATGTTAAGGAGGCTTTGATCATTCTAAATGGTTTGAAGCAATGCTTGAGGAAATACATGTGTTAGAGGATAACCACACGTAGTAAAATTTCTCCCTAGTGGAAAGAAAGAAGTGGGTCTTCGTGGTCAAAGTTGTTTTAGAAGGTCCTGTGACAAGACTTAAGGCTAGACTTGTTGCCAATGAATATGCTTAGACTTAAGGGATGGATTACTCAAACATCTTCTTCCCGGTTGTCAAACTCACTACTGTCTGCTTGTTCATTTCTCTAGTTGCTTATGAGAATTCTCCTTTGCATCAGTTAAACATTAAAAATGCATTCCTTCATGGCGGTCTCTACATAGAGGTTAATAAGAAACAACCGCTTGATGTTGTTGCTCAGGGGGAGTATGAAAAAGTTTGTCACTTGAAGTAGTTCTTGTATGGCTTGAAACAAAGTCCTCGTGCTTAGTTTGAAAAATTTAGTAAGGTACGTAATTCAGGAGTTTGGACTAAAAAGAAGACAAATATGATCATTCAATCTTCTGCAGGCAATTTGTGGGTGGAACTATTCTCCTTGTTGTATATGTCGATAACATTATCATTACAAAAATGATTTTGTAGGAATCTCTTCTATCAAGTCTTTCTTACATACTAAGTTTCATTTAAAAACTTGAGACAACTGAAATACTTCTTGATAGTAGAAGTATCTAGAAACAAGAAGAAGTATTTTTCTATCTTAGAAAAAAATTATTCTTAGCCTAGTGGAAGACATCTATTTTGTGGTTTTTTGGATGATTAAGTTATTTCTTGGAGTTCAATGGAACAATTCATTGTTACTCTCTCAACTTGTGAAGTAGAATAGTAATATACGTGTGTCATGCTATTTGATTGAGAAGATTATTGAGTAAGTTTATTTTGCCACAAATTGAAGCCATGTCAAGTTGTGTTAACAACAAAAACTCGCTCAAACACTTGTCAAGAATTTGAATGTATCATGATCAAAGCAATATAAACATAAGGTACTTTCATCAAAGAATGCATAGTCAAAAAGAAAATAGAATTCAAGTATGTAAAATCTCACGATCAACTTGCAGATACCTTTACAAAGCCTCTAAGAATTAAAAATTTTCAAAGGTTGAACTCGAGTTAAAATAAAGAAGAAAAATTAAAGTTAAGGGGACGATTTGTGGGATCAATAAAGAAAGTAGTTGGCAACAAGTTGCCATAACAAATTGCAAGAGGCCATTACATGTTTTCACATGTAATTTGCAAGTTGTTGAAGCAATCATTAACTCCTATAAATAGGAGCTTTGTTTGTTCAATTCAAATACACCAGAGCATAGAGAGAGTAATCCACGGATTATTTTTAGTTCGTGAGAAAATAGAGTGAGTAATAATATAATGAGTTGTGTGAAATAAAAGAACGTATTTTAAGATTTAATAGTTTTTTGACACTATCAAGTTATAATAATTGTTAGTATATTACTCCATTTGGATATTATATTTATCCCATTAAAAGATTTGATATCGATGTCACTCTCTTTTTATTACTATTTAACATGGATATTATTCATAGGTAGAATTTATCATTTTCCCGACATACCTTTCATAAAATTATATTTATTGCACCAAATAGGGCAAAAGCATGAATGTTTGTTTATATATAAATTGTTGAACCCCGTTGACACAAGGTAAGATATTAGTGTACTTGCAAAGAGGGTTTAACGTCTCAAGTTCAAATTTCAAGTCTGACATTCTATAATATAATATTGCTTGAATTGTCTTTGCATAAATTTCTAATTCCACCACTGAATTGTCATCGGACATTAGGAGCAAAGACTTATGATCTGAAAGCCTAAAATTGACAAATAAATTATAACCTATAAGGAGCATAGAACATACCCTTCTTGATCTTATTTGCCTCAAAGATGAATCCAGCTGACGCTCAAGCTGTTCCAAATCTTTTGTGTTTAATTGACTTAAGTCCTCTCCAAGTATATGCCTTAAAGATTAAGAATAAGTAAATCCAATTTTATTAAGAATTAGGGTAGAAGAATAATATATTGAAGACACAAATAACATATTGACAAGCCGTCCTTTAATTTATTTCACGGGATTTTATCTAAACATCCTGAACCTGTTCAAACAAACGCATGATTGAACATGTCCATGCATGTTCAAAATACTAGTTCTAAACCGGTTCAGGTGTTTAGATGAAACCCCATGAAGTAAAAATGGACCGTTAATCAAAATGGGACAAGTAAAAGTGCCTTTCAAACAAATAATGTATCACCTTTGAGACTGTTGTAGCACTTCAACTCTTGCTTTCAGCTTCATATACTCTTGGTAGTTGTTCTATTCCATAATAACACTAATAAGTTAGAATGAATATAGAGTGCTTGACATTAGTTATCAATATCAATTAATTAATTATTTACGAAGAAAATAAGACAGATAACATGTTATAAAAGGTTAAATTATATTGATACTGTCAGAGTATATAAGTTAAGTACGAAGTAAATTGCGATTCTGAGGAAGATGAAGGAACCTGTGAATCCATTGAAGACTGGCCAGTTTCAAGGTCACCATAGCTGCATCTATGGTATCTCTCCAGTGTATCAGACATACTAGGAAAAAATGACAAGTTGCACAAAAGTGACAATTTGATTTAGAGGAATCTTCAACTTATTAAAGGATCATACTTTATTTACTCTTTGACAAGAAATGTAATTATTACTAGTTTTTTTAATCATGTTACAAGTACAACAATAATAGTAACATATCAGTGTAATCTCATAAATGGGGTTTGAGGATGATAGAGTGTACCTAACCTTATACCTGCCTAGAAGTAATTTAGAGGTTGTTTTTGATAGACTCTCTCGACTTATGAAAAGCAATTTCAAAACTAGGTTTAGCCAATACAAGAGTAAAAATTATGGTGAAAATACGATAGACAAGAAAGTTCATGAAGTAAACATAGTACAAACAACCCAAGTAAAATTAAAGAAACATCAGTAATAATACAATGAACAAAGAGATAATAATAATGATATTGATAATAATTAGACAAAGAGATAATAATAATGATATTGATAATAATTAGACTATGCTCTCCTTGATGAAAGAAAGAAAATTGTTTGAATACCTATTGACCCTCTTCCCTAACACTCAACTTTCATGTGTTTTTTAAATCGAGAATCAATAATATATCATGTCATATCTAATCACGTTACAAGTTATAAAGCCCAAATAATAAAACTATAAAGAAAAACTAATGCACAACCATAATATATAGGTACTTTATCTAACTCTTAACTAGGACCATATGTAGAGCATAATGCTTAATGCATGCTTGGTTTTCTCTATTACATATTGCCTTATAAGTACTTTAGTCCACGGTTACCTTCTCTTACTTTAATATGATATCAAAACAGATAATTAGTTATAAGTCTCAACGTTATTTATTATAATTATCTAATAAATAACTTGATTGTGTAAAAAAAAAACTATATTATTAATGCCTAGAAGTTACATAAACCAATATTACTTCTACTATGTTATTTGATCTTGATTATGTTTTTTAAAATTGTTAGTTATTATAACTTAGAATACTTCTTATACATATACATGATTAAAATAAAAAAAAATTGACCCACAAAACTCGAGTCACATAAATTGAAACACAAAGAGTATGCAGAAAATGAAGAGTAAATGACAAATTTGTCAGTTCAAGAACATTAGTGTCAAAATTAGATGAAAGGCAAGTCCTTAACTTTAAGAAAAAGACGATTTAGATGGTCATTCAATTAATAGGATTGTTATATGAAAAATTAACATTATTTCTTGATTTCAATATAATTTTCTTGGATAATAACTATTAATTGAGTGATTATTCAAACAAAAATGATCAACTGCAAAAATTACTCCAATCCGCAATACAAAATTTTCTATATGAATTGAGCTTAAATGAAAAGTTGAGGATTCATATTGTCAATTCCGACTTGATATAAAGTTAGTGTTATTTGTTGCCATATATAATCAAATCAAATTCTTTTTCAAAGTTTTTTGTTGTTTTCAAAAACTAAGATAAGAATTCAAGCAGCTTTAATTCAATTCATATTATAAAACTTCTTTTTGTTTCATGTGTCTGTACTTGAAGAACATATAAAGTGAGGATATTTTAAATTTATTTATTTATTTGTTTAAAATAAAAAGAAGAAAAAATGAAGGTGGAACATCAAATCATAACAAAAGTTAGATCATAAAATGAACTTTGTTTTAACAATTTTAATGTACAAGAAAACCTAGATCTAATCAAATGAAAATTTGATTATTCACCCTTAATAAATGTACTAAAAACTCTATTCTCACTCAGATCTATAACATCAATACTCAAAAACAAGTAAAAATCAACAACAATTTTTTTTAAAAAGATAACAAAATCATAATGCACATAAACATCCGTTTGACCATAGATTTTGCAATCGAAACTCAAAGTTGTAATATTTGGAACTAATTTAAAGTTTTGCGAGTGGAAGTGAAATTTAAGATATTTAAAAATCAAATTTCGTGGTTAAACATATACAATTTTTCAAAAATCTATAAAACGTAAACGTGAAGCTTAAATGGAGCGATATCGACATTAAAAACATATAAATATTACCTAGAGGTACTGCAAAATTCATAGAGCTTGCCACGATTAGAGAAAATGATAAGAGCAACTTCAGCTTCACACAAAATAGAAAGCTCATAAGCTTTTTTGAGTAATCCATTTCTTCTCTTAGCAAAAGTAACTTGCCTGTTTATCTTGTTTTCTATTCTCTTCAATTCTACCTTACCTCTTCCCATTATAATATTATAAAATATAGTTTCAAAAATCTAATATTTTAATCTCAAAAACTAGTCATGTGTGTGTTTTTTTGATAAAAGCCTATGTATAGTAGGATATTGATAGTGTAGTTATGGTTTTGGTTCTTCTTTTTTCTGTCTTTTTATTCTTAGGGTAATAAATAGCTTTGTGGGGTCATGGGGTTTCCTAATATTACAACATTGTATCTATATTTCTTATATTATTTCGTTTGATGTGATATGTGATGTATAAGGTATAATAATTTCAGCATAAAATGCAGAGTTATTTTATCGTGTGTTTAGTTGGAGGTATTATGTAGTAATTCTTAGATTGTTACTCTTACCATTTGTGTTTTATTGATGAAATACATTATCTCATATATATAGTGAAATAATAACTTATTCATGAAATGATTTATTCTAAAATAATTAATCCTAGAATAATTTATTCACGACCAAACGACCCTTATAAATATCACTTTAAACATTGTAAATAATGCATTTTTGGAAATACTGCAAACTGCTTTTGTTATTTCTTCTGCTTGTGTCCCTTGTCTCTTTATAATTAATACTCCTTCCGTCCCTAATTACTTGTCCACTTTTGAATTGACACACCTATTAAGAAAACACTTATTGACATAGTGAGTTTACCATTGTACCCCTATTAATTATGAAGTGGATGAATTAAAAAATTAATATTTTCAAAAAGCTCTACCTTTTTCAAAGTAATTAATTGAGGGTATAATAGGATTTTTTTTTGTCCTTTCTTGATTTGTCAAAATGGACAAATAATTAGGGACAACTACAAAAAGGAAAAAAGGACAAGTAAATAGGGACGGAGGGAGTATATAAGTAAAATATGTTTTGGTGTTTAGGGCAAAAAAAAAAAGAAGACGAGTCAATACTATTTAGTATTATTATTTTTCAGGATAAAATGCAGAGTTATTTTATCGTATGATTAGTTGGAGGTATTATGTAGTAATTTTTAGATTATTACTCTTATCATTTGTGTTTTAGTGATGAAATACATTATCTCATATATATAGTGGAATAATAACTTATTCATGAAATGCTTTATTCTAAAATAATTAATCCTAGAATAATTTATTCACGACCAAACAATCCTTATAAATATCACTTTAAACATTGTAAATATTGCATTTTTGGTACTACTGGAAACTGCTTTTGTTATTTCTTCTGCTTGTGTCCCTTGTCTCTCTATAATTAATATATAAGTAAGATATGTTTTGGTGTTTAGGGCAAAAAAAAGGACAAGTCAATACTATTTAGTATTATTATTTTTGGTTTCTCACCAACTAACCTTTTAATATCAAGTTTTTGCCCCTATTTGGGGGTGGTATTTAATTTGTATCAAATTACATATTAAATCAAAGGAGACATAAGTTTTAGAAAAAAAAATTCCATATAAGTTGTGTAGTATCTAGTTTGATGGGAAGACCTAAGTTAAAATAATTTTTGCTTTATTCGGTTCTGTAGGAATTAAGCGGGCATAATTTGGTATGCCTTGTAACGCAGAACATGTGTTATATTATGATACAAATATTTATTTATTTTCCTTGTAGAATTTGTTTTAAATTTTTTTGATGCTAGGGGTATTTTAAGTCACTTTTTTTTATTACTTAAAGGACAAAAATTAAAGATCACCAACTTAAGAGTCAAAAATTTAAAACCACCCCAAAATGGGGGCAATCGTGCGAATAACCCTTTAATATTCGTATTAGGGCCTCGACTAATTTCAATTCTAGTCGCGTGTGACTCGTTTAAGTGGGAAACACTCTATAATAAATGTTTATCCATGCCAAGTAAGAATTCAAAACTCTGATTAAAAATGAAAGAATCATATTTATCTCATCACAGTCTTTATCGATAATACTTTTACTAATATCTTTATGTTATCTCTAGAATTTGAATATTGGTGGCTGTCAAGTCTAACCCAAACTTTAGATTTTTAAGCAAGTTGAGGTGTAGAGCACTGAGGAGTGGGCATGTACTCTTATTTTGAGCAAATATGCCCCAATTTGATTTGAAGTTCTCAACAATGGTATCTTTTTAGGCCCTTTTGGCTATTTTTTACCATGATTTGAAGTCAGATTGATTTGAAATTAAAATTTTATTTGAATGCATAAATTAGATTTGAAAAGTAATATTTTTTTTATAGAAAACCACATAATTTGTTGAAAATTCTATTAAAATATTATGGAAATTTTAATTATATATTTTTATATAATTTTTTAAATGAGTAAATCATAATTCATAAATAAGGTATCGAAATATAATGAATCAATCACATAACTTGGTTATTTATTTATAAATAAATGTTTGTAATTACATTTTATTAGAAAGTTCCAAATTCACATAATTTTACATACTACTAGAAATAAAAGTTTTTTCCGCTGATCAAAGAGATTTCAATCAGTCAAGTCCCACATTTCCATTTTAATGGAAACTGTGAGACATATTATGAAAGGTATTTGTATCCCTTACTGGGATTGAGGGGTGTTTTAAAAGACCTTTATATGGAGATACATTATAAGCCCCTTATATTGGAAATATCATGTCTACAAAATACAAAAGTTAGCTCATGACGAAAAAGAATGTTCAAACTATACTAAAAAGATCACACATTTCTTCTAGCTAGGACTGGACATATAGTGCGTGGACAATTTTAGTATGGAGGTCTAACATCGAAAAACAAGAATGGAATGAATCGTGCATTAATATTATGTAAGGAAATATTTTTTGTGTCTAACTCAAATCTAAAAGCGAACTTATAAGGAAAAGATTGTTTAGATCATATTAAAGTAAATACCATTTCTTAAACCACCGAGATGGGACTCTTCACAAAATTATACACACACTAGACAGTATAAATATCTTTTTACACCATCAATAATAGGTAAGTGTATTTATACTAGATTATCAATCAATATTTACTAAAAAAATAATCTGATCGTGTAAATATTTTTTACACCGTCAATACATATAATTGAAACTCAATAGTATTTAGCAGTCAAGGGGTACAATAATTTTTGGTGCTAATTAAATGTATAACAACCTTAAATATTGTTTGTTTTTCCTTAAACAAGACATAGCACACTCCCCCTTATGCATCTTTTGGGGACATACCACATGTTTCTGTTACATGAGTTGGATATTTTGATATTAGATACCTAAGAATATGTCATGTTACTCCATACATATCAAACAATATTTCACTTCAATTGAAATATTTAAAATCAAGATTTGTGATTACATAAACTATAATACGTTAATGTAATCATTCAATCTTGATTCAACACGGAGATAAATGAGAGAAAATTTTGATTAAAAAAATAAAGCACATAGTGTATGGGAATTGATATACAAATTAACTGGTATCATCTAAATTGAATATCACAATTCATAGATACCGATTTGTATATCTATTTCATACACTAAAAGAATTAATAACATACTTATAAAATTTGGTGATTTCATTTCATACATTAAATACCACAGATCTTAGATATCAATTTGTACAATCATTTCATAAACTTAAGCAATTAATAAAATACATAAAATTTGTTGAGCACCAATTTTCATATCAATTACTAGAGTCATCATACACAATACATAAACTAAAACATGTTTGTATAAAATATGGTATATAAACTAATTTCCACAATCATTATAAACATTTCATAGAAATACGACATATATATAAGAAATCACTTTACAAATCGATTCCACTCAGTATATATATAAAATCTAAGGAATATTCCGTAAATTGAATATCACAATTTATAGATATCAGTTAGTACAATCATTTCATAATTAAATAAAATTATTGAATAAAATATAAAATTCGATAAATACCAATTTTTATATTAATTTTCTTAGTCGTTATACACATTATACTCCATACAAATATGACATATAAAAACATTACTTCATAACTTAAATAATAGAAACAAGTTTCCCTAAATAAAATCCAGCCCTAGTGCCAAAGTTATTCACAAAAACGGGTAAGACTCTTTTCACATTTTCCATATTTTATATATATATA